ACATTGATTTTTATACCAGTTTTAGTGCTCTTCTTGGTCTGTTGTGTATGTAATATTTTTATCTGTGGTAACAAGTCGGAGGCGAGGTTCTTACTTTCACTAAACCTAACCTCATCTAGTGTAAAATAAATTACTGAAATATTGAATTTTAATTCCGTATTCAAAGACAATCAACAGTAGTTATATATGAGACAGTCTTTTAAAACTAAAAGCAAATACGAAACCGTAACATATACAAAAACATAGTTTCCTATCACACACATATCACATCTCTAGTGCCAGATTAAATGAGACACTATAACATTAGTTTTTGGGAACGTATAACCGAAATGTACTTTCCAGTTACTTGTTGATTTTACTACCTCAAATGTGATAATTTTGTTTATAAGCATTTCTATTAAAAGATGAAACAGTCTTCTGAATGAAGAAAAATATATTTACTAAAGATTAAATATTTTTTGCTAATATTTCACAACTTCGATATGTTCAGCGGTTGTTAAACGATGCATATTGTAATAAAGTATAAATTAGTCTTTATATATAATACTCTAGATGATAACTCCGTTTGGTATAATGGTACCAAATATGGGCCCTGATATGTATACCTTATGTATAAGATAATTTTTTGGGAGAATATCAATATGTTTTAGATGTGAATCCGTACTCATAAATTTTGACAATATACTAAGTCAAATATTTAACTTTAAACTGCAATAATTTTTAATTATTTGCAATTAAGTACGATAATTACAGTTTGCAGTGAAAATATTTTCAAAAAATAACAAAAGTCACAATTAAAATTTTAAGTAAATAAATTAAATTCGCATTTTTTATGCAGAGCAGCCTGTATGGAAACTATATTAACAGAATATTAAATAGTGCTGAAGTATGTACCGGAAAAAAAATACATTGATTGATGTTTTTAATGCCAGCGACATAAATTCAAGCATTTAAATTTATTTAAATGTGCTTGAATTAATTATAAGTACATTTGTATTAAATTCTGGAATAAATTAAATTTCTCTTCCATGTATTGCGTCAATATAATTAATTTTTTTTTTGCGGTTGTCTGTCACAAAAAGTAAAAGTGAAATGAATTAATATAAAAGTAAATACATACTTACAATAAATTTGTTGATTCATTATATCTTAGATTACATTATTATCACTGAGTATGCTTTAATAAATGCACTTTAAGTAAGCTTTAGTGCATATAATTGACATGCTTTAAAACAGTCTACTCTAACTAGCAGTCGGAGGGCTAAGCCTAATATGTTCATTTAGAAAATGAACAAATTTGAAATTGAAATTGTGCAACTGACAGAAACTGAAGTTCTGAAACAATTTTCTTTCAATTTCAGTTTATGTTTGAATTTCTACAATTTTTGCACTTGAATGCATATTCTAAAAAGTTGCAAAATCTATTGCAGCTGAAATTCATTTGCAATTCAGTTAAGTTTGTTCAACATCATTCGAAGCTAACAAGCAATTTAAGCAGATTTGCAAGTTTCTCTATTCAAACATGACAAGTTAAACTTTCAGGACAAAAACTCTACTAACTAAATTTTATACTAAGTACTAAGTATCAAGTTTATAACATGAAATAAAATATTAATTGAAATTTGATATGTTTTTAATGCTCTTACGATTACTCTGGCTATTTAAGCATAATTGAAACAAACTAGTAAGTTTAAGTTTATATATTATATAAAACAATATGTGGGAATTATATCAAGCTGTAGGAATCAAGCGTCTGTAGAATAAAAAAATATATAATACATATTTTTTTTGAACACTTTAGGCTATAATTTTTAAGGCAGGTCTATTTTTTACACAAATTTTAAAGCAATTCATTATGAATCACACCTGCAAACAATAACAATTAATTTTGTATCTGCTTTGGGCACAAAAACAGAAAACCCCCAGAGGTTAAAAAAAAAATTTATGTAAAATCATATTCAATTTAATTTATAAAATTTGTTTCATGTCAGAAATTTCATTTTGTAGATAAAATACGGAATTGATTTTCAAATAGAATAAATTTTATATAAAGTAATTTTTCCTAATAGTAAAGAAAATATGCTTTAAGCATGATTAAGTGTTGTATGTCCATTTTATACTGAATATTTTATGTTAAGGAAAATCAGATTACAAATTGTTTCCGAGAAGCAAAACATTGCTACGTTAAATATTAATAAAGGAAAATATTTTTTTCTTTCTTATTTGTTAATAAATTTTACTTAATAAATATTTACTTCCTCATCCGGGTAAAACACACACTACTTTAATTTCTTTTCAAAAATATTTAATAAATAATTTAAGCACGAATGTATAAAAAGCAACTCATATATTTAGAAAAACGTGAAATATTTTATAAAAACTTAATGTCTCAGGAACTTTTTTAAAAAGGATAATAGCTCAAGCAACACAAGAGTTTATAGTAAAAAAATAAAACATTTGCAACCCAGGAATAATTTCGCTCCACTTCCGCAATGCAAATACAATGTTTCAAGTAGGAAAAAAAAAACTTGAAAAAAAAATGAAGCCAAAAAGGATAATAACAATATGAACATTTTATACTACATAAAAGCAGCTCGGCCAGGAAGTAAATTATTTGTATAATTTTCATTTTAATCTTTTGAATTTTATTATACTTTTGTTTCACTTTTAATTTCACTTAAATTATTTACCTTTTTTTTATTTGTTCGTCTGAAAATGCACTTAAAATAAACAAATTTTACTTAGGCATAACATAAAAAACCTTATAAAGCAACTAACTTTAAATTTTTTGCTATTATACGAGTATTATTGTTAGGAGATGTGGCACTGCGACTGTCGGATCTATTGTGTCCCCTTCCGGTTTTAGAGTAAGTCTCTAAGCCCTATTGCGTCAATAAAAAGTAGTATAGAACCTACTTTACAAAGTTTTATTGCCTCTTCCGTAAGAATATACATTCCCAGTAGCCTATACAGTAGCCTATATGTGCATTAGCGCAGGGCATTCTAATACAGTTTGTAAAAAATCTGTTATCTACAGTTAACGAATCTTCAGTATAGTAAAAACAAGAACTTTAAATTAATAGTTTATTTAAAAGCTTTAAAAAACAAGGTAAGAATAAGAATATTTAATATATTTAAGTCAATAAATTTATTTAAAAGTATTTTAAAACAACGTAAGAATAAAAAAAATGGAACTATACATAACCGAAAAACAAATTTTGGATTAGGCAGAAATAGTTATATAGGCCGTGTGCGAGTTCGAGTAAATTGAGGTAAAGTAAATTAAAATTTCCCAGGGATTTTTTGCACTGCACTTATATAAGATTTTATTTATTTATTTATTGCTCTTATTTATTATTTTTGGTTAAAGTTTTTTAAATTTATTTATTCATTTATTAAATATCTTATAAAATTTTTACAATGGTAACACCTAATTTATCTAATTTACCCTATTCTAAATTCTGTTAAATATCAACATTCGCTGCCACACCGACATAATTTACTTTTTCCCTCAATTTAACATCAATTTATTCGAACTCGAACACGGTCGTCATACATATCAAGTGAATGTTATAATTGTTGACACCTAATGTCCTCTTCAACATTTTCCTTGATCTCAAATCTCTTAGTACTTTAAAGTGTTAGACGTTAGAGGCTTAATTAATTTCCAGTTGAAAGAATAAAGCTTCCAGTATTTTTTATATAAAATGATTTACTATATCTCTTACGGCGTACGCAATAAAGCTATTCAGTTCCAATCGCTAATCAAAAAGTTATTCGTGTTTCATTTTTTGAATAATTCTTGAATATGTTCTGAAGTTATCTGGTTTTACTAATTTTCTTTTAATTCCTAATGTTCTACAATCAATGAAGATAAGTTCTGAAATTGTTATTAAATTTATTTTTAAATTAATTCTTATTTCGACATTCAACAAAAAGTTATTTTCTTAACTTCTACAATATCTTCTTATGAATGACTTACAACAACAGGAAAAAAAACTAAACTCAATTTAAAATATTTAATAAAACTCTATGTAGGTGTAATTTAATTATATTAAAAAGTAGCTCTTCCATGTCGCTGACTTTGCTTCGATTGACATGAGTTTATATTAAACTCAGTTTATCTATTCATGCACGTTCATTTAATGTGTCTTGCATTCGTCTTGACTTGCTTGAATGTATTTTTACAAGAAACGAATGAATTCCCTTTAGAGGAGGCTACAGAAGCTATAAAATGGCTCATCTTCATCAGAGCAGAAGTCAACATACCTGCTTTCATAATTTAAAGTAATAAAAAGTACGTTCACTTTCATGCAATACGTATATCTCCATGTGTCGCAAAACGTAGGTGATATTAGTGTCTTCCCATAGTTCTGTATACTCGTATGAGTACTTGAGGACAAATTGAAATTTATGAACATTTTGAACCAGCACGTGAATGCGTACAACATCAAATTTGTAAAGAAAATAGAAAATGTGAAAGAAAATGAAACTTAATATACGAATTCATTTTAAAAGTTTTATATTAAATTCCACAACTCTCAAATTGAATTAAAACACTGAATTCGTATCTTTCATGAACATATAATTAAATAGAAACACAATTCAATAAAGTAATGTAGTTTAGTGATTAAAAAATAGAGTTTACGATATGTTTTTAAATAAAAAAATATTTAATCCTGCGAAGCATGTGTTATCCCTTAAATTTTTATAAGTAAATTCTTATTTAACTTACTTCAGATATCAAGTATTGTTTGCTTTATAAATTGAATAAACCGCAAATCACTCTTGAAAAAATAAATTACAAAAGTATAAAGAATTGTTAGGGTGTGTACCAAAAAAAAAAAAGAGAAAAAAATACTTCAAATAAAATAATAAATTCATATATTCCATTAATTTCAATTTATTCAGAATTTATTTCTATTTCACATTTTTTTCATATCCTTTTAATATACGTATTTACTTTTTATACATTTTTTATTACAAGCAAATTACACAAAATGGTACCCTTTGAGTGCTTGCATCCACTAAGGCGACAGACACAGGCGAACGAAGTCCTTAAAAAAACGCCAAGTAGCTTGAGATTTGAATTGGCTGTTGGCAGTAAAACTTGGTTAACGTTTCGCACATTTTCTACTTTTTAGCCTTCTACGAAGACTCACTGCTCACAATGCAGTTGAATGTTTGTAATTAAATGTGTACACAATCAGCATACAAATTCCTATTCACCAGACTGCAATGAAATTTTGCCAATTGAAAATAGTAGAAATCATTTCATGTAAGTTTGTTGTATGAAGTGATTATATGCAAATCAACTAGGAAGAAAATTGCTTCTTAACTTGACTAAATGAAGTCCTTAGTTGTAAAAAGGAAGGAACTTATTGCCATTTGCGTTGAATAATAAGTAAAATTGAAGTGAAAGTTGGTTAGATTATATTGAACTAAAATAAACTAAACTCAAAAAAAAAAATAGTATTAATTTAATTAAAATTATAATTAGTGTGAATTATTAATTAATTCAAAATGGTATTAATTAATTTGTGTTGAATAATATGTTAAATTGAAGCAAAAGTTGGTTACATTATATTGAACTACAATATATTAGATTCAAAACAAAAAAAAATGGTGTTAATTTAATTAATACCAATTATCAATTTAAATTATGAATTAATTCAAAATGGTATTAAGTAATTTGTGTTGAATAATACGTTAAATTGAAGTAAAAGTTGATTAGATTATATTGAACTACAATATATCAAATTCAAAACAAAAAAAAAAAATGGTATTAATTTAATTAAAACCATAATTAATTTAAATTATTAATTAATTCAAAATGGTATTAATTAATTTGTGTTGAATAATAAGTTGAATTAAAGTAAAAGTTGGTTAGATTATATTGAACTACAATATATTAGATTCAAAACAAAAAAAAATGGTATTAATTTAATTAATACCAATTATCAATTTAAATTATTAATTAATTAATGGTATTAATTAATTTGTGTTGAATAATACGTTAAATTGAAGTAAAAGTTGGTTACATTATATTGAACTACAATATATTAGATTCAAAACCAAAAGAAATGGTATTAATTTAATTAAAACCATAATTAATTTAAATTATTAATTAATTCAAAATGGTATTAATTAATTTGTGTTGAATAATACGTTAAATTGAAGTAAAAGTTGATTTAATTATATTGAACTACAATATATTAGATTCAAAAGCAAAAAAAAATGGTATTAATTTAATTAAAACCAAAATTAATTTAAATTATTAATTAATACAAAATGGTATTAATTAATTTGTGTTAAATAATACGTTAAATTGAAGTAAAAGTTGATTTAGATTATATTGAACTACAATATCTTAGATTCAAAACCAAAGAAGAAAATGTATAAATTTAATTAATACCATATTTAATTTAAATTATTAATTAATACAAAATAGTTTATTTGTTTTATATTAATGAAGTAAAAGTTGGTTAGATTATATTGAACTACAGTATATTAGATTAAAATCATAAAAAATTGTATTAATTTACACTGCTGTTTAAATATTTTCTTTTCTTTCATACTCTAATAAATCACTCAGGGCGTATGAGTGACGTTTTTCATTAAAACGAATGTATAGATTAATTATACGAGATCTCATTTTGCAAGCATAAGCATATAAAATTATATATTTAATGGGTACTGTATATATAATAAAGTATATGTAGCTATTTGTTTTTATAATTAATTTAAAAATATAACTTTCTAATATACGGGGGGATTAATAAAAGCTGGTTTAGTTGGCTACAAAAAGCATAACAAAAATAAATTTAATTTCATAACTTGAATCTTTATCATTTCTATTCGTTCAATATTCTATTAGTTACTATATGTGTCTAAGTTCACTTCACTAAGCAGTTTTCAAAATCGTATTTTTCTAAGTGTGCCACTTTTAGTTTAACTGCACTAATTACGCGGGACAAGTAAGCTCTCTCTACTGATTTTGTATTGATGTAAGGCTAATTTAAGGGTACTTAGTTCAAATCTGCAACCCGTTTCTCTCCTAAAGATATATTATGCTGATAATTACGGGTTAAAGTTGGAAAATTGTGTTTTAAAAGGTTAAACAAGAATTTTTATTTTAAAAGACAAAAATCACATGTCTTCGGTAAACTCTATTAATAAATTCATAAATATTTTTGTCTCAGAAGTGCTGCTTCAGATTCCACCAGAATTTTACTGATTCCAATTTGACTACTTGTTGCGAAACTTCAAACAAAATATCGAGTTCTTTAGCAAATATAAACGAACTTTTGCTATTCTCTTCGGATACAATATGTGTAGTTATTTGTTTTATTTAAAATGAATTAAAAAACATTGCAAATTGTAAATATAAAACATTTCTATCAAATATTTTCATACATTGATAACAAGACGACACTAATAACATAAGTTCTTCGTAGTCCCATAACTGCTATATTAGTACAATTTTATTTTTTTCATATTATTTCAAGTAACATTAAAATTTAAAGATAGAATAATCTTGCATTTATCTAGTAAAAAAATTAAAAACATGCGAAATACATATATTCTATCTTTACAAGTTCTATTATGTAAATTATATTAAAAAAAAGTGGCAATAAAATTTCGGTACGTCGTCAGAAAAGGTTATACAATGCATTTACTTCAATATCAGGACTTGATTTGCTAGTATCGCACATCAAAATACCGAACCCTAATAAGCCAGATAAAGTGGCCTACTGCATATAAAAGACTTAGTAGTTTCCACACTTAGGCAAACCATAAGTAAGCATTTAGTTTTAGGACAATACACAATGGCACATAGTTTTTATATATTTTTTTTATATAAATAAAATATTCAAAACATTTCATGCATTAAAGCAAGTACGTGAGTTTATATAAAAACATGCGGTCTTCTTGTGGGTTATCGGTGAAAGCTTGTATCTCATATAAAATACAAAAACTTAAAAGATTTTTGCGGATTTTCACACAAAGGATTTTCATAAGTAATTCAACCAAAACATCATTCGTACATTTTGAAAAACACATATCCTGTGACCACTAAACTTACACTCAAAGTTGGCATATTTTACATTTTTAAGAAACATAGCCACAAAATGGCTATAAAATGCTTTTCAGTATTTTCATCAAATATTCAGTAATTTAGTCACTTTTGGTTGTATTCAGTAACCAACTATGTGTGTACCAAAGCAAGAGACGAGGACATAAAATTCGTTGCAGAATTAAATGAAACTATCGAAGAAATACAAAAGTCATAAAATAGAGTATGAAATAGAGAAATAATATTGTATAAAAAAATATCACATGATATGATTTCTTTAATGGTCCTAATATGATCAAAGCACAAATCCAAACATCTTACAGCTGTATTCCATATTTTTTATAATATCAAAGAAGATTCTTGAATTTTTGGGTGCGTTAGATTACGAGAAGTTCTTGTTAATCGCTTTATGAAAACTTAAAATTCACAAAACGAAATGAAGCAGTAGCACTAAATAGTGGAGAACTTACTCTGTTGAAACTCATTTCTTTTGAGGTAATACTCATGACATGTAGAGAAATTATTGTATAACTTACGAACTTAACAAAACTTCATAAAGAAGTTTTTCAAACAGTAGTGAACTACAACAACAAAAATTTTATTTTTTATATTATTTTAATTAATCGAGTATTGCCAAATACCCATCATCAGTGGTCTTGGATATAATTCTTGTTTGTAATTATTAGTAAATAATCTTTTTATTTTTTGGAGGCAGCAAGTACCAGGAATCGAACTCGTGCCCTGCCAAATTCGAAGCTCAGAGTCAGCGCGCCTTAACTAACTGGCCCAAAATCATAATTGACTTTTATGTTTGCACATTTTTCTGGAATTTTGTTAATTTACTGTGAAAGTATTACTAACAAATTCATTTGCTGTGTTTATATTAGAAAGAAATCATAAACCAGTTGTAGAAGAATTGAATAAATGAATTATATTTTTAATCGTATTTGTAGAGGCATTGTTTATTGTATGATTTATATATTCTTTCTTATATATAGAATCTATTCACAATTTCTTTAAATAATTTTTTGATATAATATATTTTAATACTGTTACATGCTTTTTAGTATATATATGTACATATGTAACGGTATCTATTAAAACTTAAACAAGGTGCAAACTATGTGCTGTACATCATTTATATTTATGAAAGTGATTTTAGTTATATTTTTTTATTAATTTCACATTCAATATTTTACAGATTTATTTAAAATTCATCCATTTCCACAAAGAAAACAATTTAAATATTTATGTAAATATTTTATTTTCATAAAACAGATTTTACTTAATAATTTGTGGTTTAAATTTCAATAATAAACCTAAATTGCTTTCGGATATTATTTTAATAAACTTAAAAACTTATAAATACATAAATTATTTACTGATTGCCTTAAAAACAAAAACATAAACAAATCAATTTGCATAAATTTTGAAATTTTTCATTTATGGAATGTATATTAAATAAATTCATATTGCATATGCACATGACGTCATCTTTTTTGATGCACTCAAATTATAGCTGCAATTCTTCAAATTACCAGTTTTACTAAGCCTCATCAATATGCAAAATGTTTCATTATTTTCAGCAATATTGTCGGCTTATCGTTATACAATCGCAATTATTTATGCGATGTTTAGCAGTCTTTTGGCACATTAGCAATTCACATTCAATACAAATTCTAATCGTATAATATCCTGCATAAAATTTTGCACGAACTGTTGTATTTTTAATTATGCGGATTATTTAGGACTACAAATACAACAACACAATTTCAGTGGAATTGCAATTTTAATGGGGAAACTTAAGCTTATTTCATTCGATAAAGTGATTGCACAATAGCAATGAATTCCATAATTTAGTGGTCCTTCTACAAAATGCAAATGGTAATTCAAATAACAATGATATTCGAAAGAGAAAATTACCCCAGATCCAAACCACAGATATTGATTCAATTAAAATCTGAAAAAAAGGAGTATGAGTGTTTTAGTGAATAATAAAATATTTAGTATCAGCTTTAACCTTCACACAATTTTTTAATTATTATATTCAGATTAATTGAGTCAGTGCACTTGAGTACTTTTATTCTCTATTAACTGCAAGGTTTCAGGTTTCTTCATAACCCCTCTCCACACCTTGACGGGATTATTGTATATCACTTCATTAGACTATAGAATAACTGACCTCAGTTCTGCCTACCTCCCCGAGGAGAAGATTCGAGAGAGCGGTGTTGGTAAGCCTATCAGTTTTCGTAAATAATTTCATGGCTTTATACTTTATATATTTTTTGATCAAACCAATCTTGAGGTCCCTGAGGATGTCATTCGTCCTAATAAACCATGGCACCTTGAAAAGCCTTCTCAGAGCCTGGCTTTGTGCAATTTTCAGCTAGCGAATAAAAATGTTTGAGACCTTGCTGAACGCTACACACCCATATCGAAGTGAGGGTCAACCAGAAGACTACGCATCATTTGAATATTTATGATAAGGTGACTGAGTCTGTAACAGATATCAACATTTTATATTTACACATAATTATACTGTTAAGTACTACAAAATTAATCAGTTTAGGAGTACTTTTCTGCTTATTTATATACAGATTTATATGTGTTTCCCAAAGTTTTTATTTGCGAATAAGATTTTCATAAAATTATTATTTCAATTATGTATAGACATTGCCATTTGATGTCAATCAGAATCTTTTGAATGTCTTCTATGTAGAGTCTTACAGTATTGTGTACATTGGAGAGGATTTTTGACTAACTTTTGTAGACTTGTCGACTTATAGCTGATAATAGCAATATTATTACTATATTATTATTAACGGCTATAATTTGATGGTTATTCTTCTTGAAAGTGTAGTGAGTGAGAAATGTTCTTAATAAAGTGTCCAGATTTATAAATGCGTCCAAAAGTAATGATATTCCACAGCAAAATTCATTGTCTATCCTGGGTAAACTCGGAAGCGCTCTTTTTCTTCTTCCTTCTGGTGCGTATTGAAATATTTCTTTTGTTAAGTTGTCTATTCTTTGAATATGTCCAACCCATTGTAATTGCTTTAGTTTTACTGTCTTGCTTATTGCTGGTTCACCTAGCACTTTTTGACATTCATCATTAAATCTTAACCGATAGATGCCATCTTCTTCTCTAATTGGATCAAGTATGCGATGTATAATCTTGCGTTCGAATATTTCTAGCTTATTTTTATCAGATTAATGTTGTAATTACTCTATTTTAAATTATTGATTAAAGGTTTTGAGTTTCTTTCAATCATAACAATTGAAATGTTATTTTGAAATTCTAAGTTCTTGAACATTAAAATTAAACAAAAAAGAGAAAAAAATTAATGAAATGTGTTTGTTACTTCAAATAGAATATCTGACATAATTACTTGGTTTATTTATTCATTTCGATTTTCATTAACTTTCATGAAAATCATCATATACTTGTATACTTGTGTACAAATATAATAAAATCGAGTATATAAGGAAATATAGAAAATCCATTTCTTTCCTAATGTCAAAGTAAGTTTTCATTTAATCTCCTCTTAGTTCACATGTCATCAACAATTTTCGTTTACATTTTGTTTCAGTGAACTTGACTTGTGTTAGGATTCACTTAATCAACCATAAATAATTTCATTAAAGACTTCTATTTAAAGGAAACGCTTTATATATGTATCTCAAGGTAATTTCATGCTATTAATTAATGCGATACAATGTGACAAATAATAAGAAAAGTTTTGCGATATGTTTGGAAACAAAAAAGACCTTGTCCGAAACAATTAGTGGAGCAAACGTAAGAGATTCACATATCAATGAATCAATTTTATTTACAAATTCAGAGAGATGTATATAAATGTTGGGTTTATTTATATTAATATGTTCAATAAATAATTATTTACAAATCACATAAATAGGCATAATTATTGCTAATTATTGGTGTCAGATTTTTAACAAAAGAAGTTTGAAATATAATATTATAATAAAATATTACGAGATTATATATTACGGTATTATTCGAGATTATCTATATGGGAATATTGTAATAAATGCTCAAACAATTCACAGGCACAACTGTGACCTTAAATCAGTCATTGAATAATCACTAAGCTTATGAGGAATACACAAATTAGTCCGTGAGATAGGTGGAACTCTGCAGAAACGCCCAGCTATCAAAGAGTAAAAGTGTCCAGATCCACTAATTCGGAAAAAGCTCAACATTACATATTACGAAATTATCTATATTGCATACGAAATATATAAATAAATTTATTAGAAGTTGATTTCGCTTTTTGATCTCTATTAATTTGTTGAGGCTAGTTGAGTCAGTGCACTTGAGCACTTTTACTCTCTATTAACTGCGAGGTTTCTTCATAACCACTCTTTACGCCTTGACTGGATTACTGTTCATCACTTCAGCAGACTAAGCAATAATTGACCTCAGTTCTACATACCTCCCTGAGGAGCCTGTAACTATTCTGAGACTCGATAACACGGTGTTGGTAAACCTGTCAGTTTTCGTAAATAATTTCAGGGCTCTATTCTTTATGTATTTTTTGATCGGATCAATCTTGAGGATGTCATTCGTCCTAATGTACCATGGTACCTTGAAAAGTGTTCTAAGAGCCTGGCTTTGTGCAATTTCTAGCTGGCGAATAGTAGTGTTTGAGGCTTTGTTGAACATTACACATTCATATAGAAGTGACGGTCGTATTATTTGGTTATATATCAACTTCCTGTGCTTAGCATTGAGATTTTCATTTTTGTATAGCGATTGGAAGTGATAAAGAATTTTGACACAGCTAATTCTTTTCAGTTGAACATGTTTAAGCCATGTGAATCGTTATTCCACCGTGATACCTAGATATTTAAGGCTATTCTTCCAGTTTGTTACAATATCTCCCACTCTCACTCTCGATCTTCAAATTTAGTTTGAAGAAAATGTTCTTTTATAATAAATATTTTGTATTAAAAGAAAGAAATTTCTTAAACTATGTTTTACTATTTTAATTTTATTTTCATAAGTATAGTTAAAAAATGAAAAAAAAATTCGTGATAACATTAGTACAAATAAAATTTATGTAATATAAAATTGTAGAAATAAAATATCTCAAAATTGCGATATTTTCCATTAGTTTCTATGAAGAACAGAAACGTAAGACGACGAATTCCATTAAGAATACATAGCCCTTGAAATTCAGTTTTGCTATTTTTCCTTCCGCATTTATTTATTATTACTTTTCTAACAAATATACAATAATTTTCTTTCCTTGAGTCTTGACGTACAATAATAAATTTATATAAAGCAGTATTTCCGTTTTCTTGAAACTGGAATCCTTTTCCACCTTAAACAATTTTCCGCAGAATTTTGTATGCTCCCAAGGCGGTTTAAGTCAATGAATAACATTTTCAGTATTTTTGAGTGAAGTTCTGTAAAGACAAATTCAATATAGAATAAAGAAATGTACGGACAATTTTTATATATTTTCTTAAAATATAACCATAATATATAATATATCTTTTACGTAAAATATTAAAAATTATTATTAAATAAATAGCTAACTAAATTTTATATGTTGTTTTAAATGTCATATGCATTTTATCTCATTCATTTATTATGCACTGTATCAACAGTTCATTATTCTAGTGATATTTATTAACATTTTTAGTAACTCAAATATATACATATATAACTAGTATGTTATTAAAATTTATTTGCAATTTTTTTAAGGATAACAAGTAACTTATTTAAGCATACGCTCTATCCTGTGAACAAAGATTATAACGAATTTTTACTTATATATATTCCATTAGTCTGAAAAAAAATATATATTTATCATTTTTTCGATAATAATTTTAAAAAGTTTTTATACTTTTTCAAAGAAATACAAATATTATTCTTCAGTTCATATAACCAGCAAGGCACAAAAGTTCAATGTTTCCTTTCAACCAAAAAAATATTATAAAAATCCATCGCATTTTATGGCAAAAAATTGAAAATAATTTATATTACTCTGGCAACGAAGCAATTTTATAATAAATTCTTTTTCTGCACGCTATACACAATACTATCTTTATGGCACATTAATATCCTTTCCATTTTACAATTACAGATAAATATGTGAAACGGCCACCACGCAAGGCATATGGTCGACTCAGCGCCGATTCGGATGACGGCTCATCAATGAAACATAAAATCGATGATCCCTTTGACGATCTTGATAATTTTGAAATGATTGCACCGGTCAGTGGAGGGAACAATACAAATGGCAATGACGCACTGCGAACATCAATGGTCAATGGCTGCACACATGCCGTCAATGACGGTGGTATATGCAATGTGGGCAATTGTGCTGGAGTTGGGAATAATTCTGTATGTCATGCACCCGATTGCCAAGGAAACTTTGTGAATAATGACTTTTGTAGCCTGAACATGGAAGGTTTGTGTAGTGGCAGCAATGCGAATGGTTTGGTAAAGTCAAATTCATCATCATTAAGAACAAAAGAAGTCAATGAGAATACCATAAACCGAATACAGGCTATGGCAATGTCGGATGATGATGATTATGGTATGTATTATCAAGTAATTGTGAAAAACTAAAATGAGTTAAAAGAACATATTTTTAAAATATTAACATAAAAAAATATATTAATGAGAGAATTAAATGTAGAATATTAAGAATATATACGAGGATTATTAATTTCATTAACCAATATTTAAGGAGCATGGAATGCAGGAAAATATTTATGATAGTATTAAAAACTACTTGGCTATTGATGCCGCTACTTTGGGTATTGTGAAACGATTTTAAGATATATTTGATCTATTAGTTCGTATATAATTATTGTAATGT